GCACTTTGACTATTGCTGTAAACTGTTACAGCCCTCTGTCTTAAACCTAACTCAATCACAAAACCCTTCAGCCACTTTGCTTCTTTTGCTGCCTCTGTTAGTGCCACATACTCGGATTCAGTTGAAGACAATGTAACCATGTGTTAGAGCTTAGACTTCCAACTAACAATGTTTCCCCATACTGTAAAGACAAAACCTGAAGTTGATTTCCTTCTATCAACATCACCAGCATAGTCTGCATCAACAAATCCTTCAACACAGCAGTCTTCTTTCTGATTCCTCCTATACACTATACCTACTAAACTGGTTCCCTTTATGTACCTCAAGATCCATTTTAATGCAGACCAATGGATCTTCCCCGGATTACTCATGAACCTGCTCACAATGCTTACTGAATAGGCCAAGTCGGGTCTTGAACATATCATCAAATACATTAGACTACCCAACACATTAGCATAAGGGACTGATGACATCTCAAGTTTTTCCTCTTCAGTTTGGGGACTCTGACTTGGGACAGCTTAAAATGCTGACCAAGAGGAGTTTGGACAGCCTTTGCATCCTTCATATTGAACTTCTGCAAAATCTTTTCAACATAATCTTGCTGAACCAGCTTCAAACTTTCATGAGATCTGTCTCTAATGATTGATATCCCAAGAATCTTTTGAGCCTGACCCAGCTCTTTCATCTCAAATTTGGTGTTGAGAATCTTTTTCAACCAAGCCAGCTCAGATTGTTCATGACAAGCCACAAGCATATCATCGACATACAAAAGTAGGAAAATGTAAGTCAGTTCAGAAACTCTTTTAAAATAGAAACAACTATCATAATTGCATCTATTAAAACCTATTTCAATCATGAATGAATCAAACTTTTTATACCACTGTCGTGGTGACTGTTTCAGACCATACAAGGATTTTTTAAGTAGACAGACTTTACGTGTAACATTTCTGTGTCCTTCTGGCTACTCCATCAGAATGGTTTCTTCCAAATCTCCATGTAAGAAAGCTGTCTTCACGTCCAATTGTTCCAGTTCAAGATTAAATTGAACAACAAGTGACAGCAGAATTCTGATAGAGGAATGCTTGACAACTGGGGAAAAAATCTCATTGTAATCTATGCCCTCCACTTGTGTGAACCCCTTTGTGACCAACCTAGCCTTATTCCTTGGTGGTTCAGTTGGGCTAAATCCAGATTTTCTTTTAAAAATCCATTTACATTTGACCATTCTACAATTTCTTGGCTTATCTACTAAAACCCAGGTTTCATTCTTTATCAGAGAAGAAAACTCTTCTTCAATTGCTTTAAGCCATTGCAATTTTTCTGGTCCTGACACAGCCTCTTGAAAAAACTTGGGTTCATCACTTATATCATCTTCAACTTGTAAAGCATAAGCCACTAGATTAGCATACCCTAATCTATTTGGAGGTTTGATTACCCTTCTAACTCTATCTCTAGATAGTTGGTAATTTGACAGCCCTAATTCATCATCATGGTTCAACTGCTCACCTTCAAGTTCACTAGTTTGATCACCCACAGAATTTTCAGAATTATTTTCCTCAGCTTGAATCTCATCAACTCCACCTTGATTCACAGTTTGATCTACTTTTGGGTTTTGAAGTTCTAGTTCTAAGAAATCTGCTCCTGAAGGACTGCCCTCTAAATTTTCAGAATCATTTCCAAGGCCAGGTAGGATTTCTTCTCTAAAAACAACATCTCTGCTGATGATACATTTCTTAGACTCTAGGTTCCAGAGTTTATAGCCCTTTACCCCATCTGGATATCCTAAGAAGATACATTTAATGGCTCTAGGTTTTAATTTGTCTTCTCTAACATGTACATAAGCTAGACATCCAAAAACTCTAAGATTTTCTAGTTTTACAGGATGACCAGTCCACTTCTCTAAAGGAACCCTAAAACCTATTGCTGAAGATGGAGTTCTGTTGATTAGGTAGACTACTATGTGTGTTGCCTCTACCCAGAATTTAATTGGCAGCTTAGAACTAGACATGATGCTTCTAACCCTTTCTAAAATGGTTCTATTCATCATCTCACAAAGACCATTTTGTTGTGGGGTATTCCGTACTATTTTATGTCTCACAATTCCATGTATCCTACAGAAATTGTTGAATTCTTCATTTACAAACTCTAGACCATTATCAGTCCTAAGTTTCTTTAACTTATTTCCATTTTGTGTTTCTACCATGACTTTCCATTCCTTAAACCTAGAGCATGCCTCATCCTTGGTTTTAAGGAAGTATATCCACACATATCTAGAGTAATCATCAACAAAACTAATGAAGTATCTACATCCTCCTAGCGAGTAGTGCCTAGATGGCCCCCAAACATCTGAGTGAACATACTCAAGTGGTGAACTTGAGTGGTGTTGACCAGATCCAAATTTAACTCTACTTATTTTTCCAAAGACACAATGTTCACAAAAAGCTAGACTTCCAATCTTATCCCCACATAGCAGGTTTTGCTTGCCTAGTTCTACTAAGCCCTTCTCACTAACATGTGCAAGTCTTTGATGCCACAATAAAGTTCTATCTTGAACTTCTGTTGACCCAACAGCAGCAATTCCACTCTCCACTCTACCCTTCAACACATATAACCCATTTCTCTTCTCATCTTTCATGATAACTAGAGATCCTTTCATGACACTAAGGCTGCCATTTGCTGCCTTATAGCTAAACCCATTAGAATCTAAGGTTCCTAGTGAGATTAAATTCCTTTTCAGGTCAGGGATATATCTAACGTCAGTGAGAGTTTTAGTTACACCACTTTGAAGATTTAGCTTAACTGTGCCTATACCTTTTATATGACACACATCATTATTCCCCATCATAACTTTCCCACCATCTAAAGGTTGAAATGAGCTGAACCATTCTCTATTTGGTGTCATGTGGTAGGTACACCCAGAGTCTAGGATCCACTCCTCACTGGTTTTACCCTCAGAAATAACTAAAACTTCAGAACTCTCATATCCCTCAGATGCTACACCAGCATTGCCTCCCTCACTATCTCTTTCAAGTTTCTGCTTGTTCTTTCTCTCAGGACAGTCTCTCCTAAAATGACCCTCTTTATGGCAAAAGAAACATTTTCTATTTCCCGACCTAGATTTAGACCTGTTCCTATTTTGCCCTCATTTTTCCAATTCTTCCTATCTGATCTCCCTCTAACATTAAGACCTTCACCATCACCACTGTTTTTATTTGTCATCCTATTCTCACTATCCTTGGCAGAAATAGCCTTCACAACCTCTTCTAACTTCAGTGTCTGTCTACCATATTTAAGGGTTTCCACAAAGTTAGAATAAGATTTAGGTAAAGAATTCAACAAGATTACTGTCTGATCCTCATCCCCAATATCTACAGAAATACTTTCTAGATCCTGAATCACTTTCAAAAAATCATCTTTATTATCTTTCAAAGATTTCTGATCATCCATTTTAAAGCCAAACAACCTTTGCTTTAAAAATAATATGTTAGGGACAGTTTTAGATTGATAGAGAGAGTTTAACCTTTTCCAGATTTCAGCAGCTGCCTTCTCCTTCTTGACCTCTCGAAGGACTTTGTCACCCAATCCAAGGATCAAGGAGCTTTTGGCTTTGTCTAGCATTTCTTGCTTCTCGGAATCTTTCATGGTCTCTGGTAGTTCAGTCTCTTCCTTTAGGGCTAAGGCTAGCCCTTCCTTGATCAGTACTGCTTCCATCTTCATTTTCCACAGACCAAAGTCATTCTCACCTGTAAACTTTTCAAGTTCGAATTTAGTGGACATGATTAAAGTTTAGCCTAAGAAACTGGTCACAAAATACTCAAAACAAAAAAGAACACTTTACGAAGCCCTGAACCAGGCTCTGATACCAATCTGTTATGATTTTGTCCTAAGCAATCACAGATTACAGCTCTATGCCTAACTAACCAACAATATAACAATATGATAAACACATATTAAGATCTCTGGTTAACAAACAATCTCCAAACAACACCAAAGTAATCACAGATTAAGATCTCCGAATAACAACCAATCTCCAAAGCAACAAAGTAATCACAGATTAAGATCTTTGAATCATCAAGCATTAACAAACAACAGATCAAGTAAAGAGATAAAGATCAACAACAGAAATTATAGTGGTTCAGCTGGGTAGCCTACATCCACTCTTCAAGACGCAATAGGAGTCATTACTATCACAGTCAGAGAACAATTTACAGAGTATTGAACAAGAAAGAAACGAAATGAGCAAAGAAGAATACAACCTGAAGAAACCCTAGCTTTCTTCCCTTTTCCCCTTGCTGCAAATCCATCAATGGAATCAATTTATACTAGGATCACCTTCCAGGATCGACCTCCACTTGAACCCCAAGAAGACCAACCGTAGATAGTAAAGATTTCGTCTCCCTTTAGCACATTCTGGAACAAATGCTGTTAGAGATGAAAAATGAGGGCTGAATCGAATGACTTGAAAAAACCCTCTTTAGCTCATTCTAAAAATGACGTCGCTGCAACAATTTGACTCACCCACTTTTAATTGACTCCAACGTGGCAAAACACAAGCCACGTGACCACAAACATCCTTTCATAAAGAGTTTGTGTAAGGAATCCGATTTAGAAAAGTATTCTAAGAATATAGGAAAGGAAAATATTTTCCCTTAGCACCGTGGCAGATATAAGAAAAAAAATTGTTAGGAGGAGCAAGTGAGGAAGAAGATGATGGTGGAGGAGAAAGAGGAAAGTAGGGGAAAAAGGGGAAAAAAAAAGAAAAGGATAAGTCGGGATAGGCACAAAACTTGAAGGAGTAGTTTTGCCCGTAACTCAAGATTCCCAACATTGTAAGAGGGTGATGGAAAAATTTTCTTGAATTCTTCTAACTTAAAAGAACTCTAACGAATCAAAAAACAAAGCAAAACCAAAAAAAAAATAAAAAAAAAAAAATAAGTGGTTGAGAAGGATCATAAACGAAAAAAGAGTGAAGTGAGATACTAATAATCAGTATATGGAATTTATACACATACCACAGTTGGCGTTGCATCTATCCTTAGATCTTCAATTTGATTGGATATTCCTAGAAATTCCCTCAGTTTCAGGCACGACTGGGTGTCAAACATAAAATCAGTATCAAATTTAATTGGCCATGGACATAAAACATTTGTGCATGAAGTGGGAATGGGACTATCCTTATATGTAAAGGAAAGCAAATTTGGAGTATCAAGGTCAAGTGCCTTCATACTTAAACAGCTACTAAGTTCAAACTTTTTAAGCTGATTACTTGAAATCGTAATTCTTTCAAGGAAATGGCAGTATTCAAGGATCAGATCCTCGAGCAAGGGAAAGCTTGAGATAAAATAATGAAACTGTTGGTCCATAAGACTAACTCCCCCAAAAAATAACTTTTTCAACTGTAAGCACCCAACAATGTTAAACACTCTTGGCGTTCTCACCGTGCCAAATCTAAGGCGTAACTCTTGAAGATTTAGAAGAACAATCTCAACACTTTCAATCCTTATACTCTCAATTCTATATAAGGAGACACTCATTATCTTCAGTTTGAGAGCTTTAAAAACACACAATCGCTTCAAACCCCAACATTCTGTAAAAGACATTTCTTCAAGGAGAGGGCATTCACTACTAAGCTTCTGCACCATTTCTTCATTTATGAAAACCTCGTCCAAAAGTAGCTTTCTAAGAGAATTAGACCTGATAGTATCTGAAATACTCTCCAACTTACAGTTAACTAACCTTAAAGTAGTAACTGATCTAGCATAAAAGATTGTTTGAGGCAAAGTGTATGATGTATCCATTGTATCGCTTTCTATTAAGATATCTAAATCAAGCTCTTTAACCTCCTTCTCTGCGGCCAATCCTATCCATTTATCAATATAAGGAACCAATTCTTCAACATCAAGAACACTTATGAATAGCCTAAATTTGTGCATATAAAACTTGAGATCGCAAAACCGAAGCAGAGAAGCATTAAGAAATTCCATAAATTCTTTCAAACGGAGTGCCAATCTGTTCTCTTCAACCACTGATGTAATTGGATCACTCTCATCTTCAGTGAGGAAATAAGTTTCATCAAAATCAAAGACAGGGAAAGTTATCCGTAACTGATTCCATCTCTTAGACAATATATTAATTTGAGCTACCTCTTTTGGGAAGAGGTAGGACATAATTTGATGAATTATAAAAGGAGGCAACCCTGAAATTCGATCCATTATCTTCAAATCTGTAATATTCACATTCACAGACTTAAAGAATATAACATACTAAATTTTCAAGCTAAACTCTTCTTGGACGAAAATTTGATTAAGAATAAAATTTTTTTTTTTTAAATTACAAAAATAATTATGATGTGATAGAATTAATCAAGTAACATATTAAACCAAAAAGAAGAAAAAACATAAACAAAGACTTACTCGTAAATCCGATGCAGAACAGCAGTGTCGAAGAATTGAAATTTGAACGGTGTTGAAGAGAAGAGGCCAACCGCGCCGTCTAGGTTTAGAAAACAGAAGCTGGCCCAAATTTTAATTGATTTTGACACAAAACACAACCGAAGGTGAGGAGATACAAATTGGAAGAGAAATCTTTCAACAATTGCATTTTATAACGAGCTTACAATACTTGAAAATTTTCATACTTGATTGAAAATAGGTTAATCTATTATTTTTGAGTAAGTAGTCTGTAGTGGTAGAAGATGAGGTTGAAGGTTGAAATATAGGGGGCGTTTGGTTCAGAGAATGTTGGATGACTGGGAATGTTAGATTACTGGAAAGATAGATTAGGATTACTGGAATCTTTAGGAAAATGTGTTTGGTTAATTGGTAGGTACATTATATTAATATGTTTGGTTGGGAGGAATAAATTGGTGTGTATATTCTTTAAATTACTGAATTGTACTCTAATTAAATATTATTATTATATTATTTTTTAATATTGATTATTATTTGGATTTTATAACCCCTTGCATTTAAAAACTTAGCAAAAACAACCCCATAGTAAAAGTTTGGAAAATCAACAAAGCACCCCCACCAACCCAGCCATTGCCGGCCGCCGGCAACCACCGTAGGCTGTCGACATTTGGCAACCTAACGACGCATGGAGGAAGGCAGGAAATGGCCTTTGTGCACCGTATGGCCATTTGCGACCAGAGATCTGGCTGGAAATGGCCAGACGTGACAGATCTGGTCGTTGACGGCCAGATTGATGACGGATCTGGCGGTCAAAGGCCAGATCAATGGCCGTTGACTGCTAGATCTGGCACAATCTGGCCATTCCATGAGCTGTTTTGATGGCAGCGGTGGTGCTGGCGACAGGTGGGTGAGGGTGGTGCTTAGGTGGGCTACAATTTTTTTGAATTCAAGGGTAATTTTGTCCAAAAAGTTAATTAATTGGGGTGAAATAGTAAAAGCCTTATCATGTAAATAAATTTAAAAATAAGGGCATTATTGTCCTAATTTTTTTTTTTTTTTTTTTAATAAGTGATAGAATTATAACCAAAAAAAGATTACCCTAGTAATTTTAGAATACCTAAGAAAATGGAGGTAATCAGATTACCTCCAATATTACCAACAGTAACTACTATTTATATTTGAAGATTACCGGAATTTTATATTACTTGACAATCAAACGTGGTAATGAAGTAATATAAGATGACATAATTCCAGTAATTCTATATTACCCCCAACCATACGCCCTATAGGGTTATAAAATTAAAATAAATAAAGTGGGTACGAGTTTTTTCTTTTTGTAGTCAATGCCCACATGGTTTCAAAAATATTAGATTAATCTCCATTTAATTTTGAAATATATTTTAACCCCCCTGTGTTTTGGTCTTGCTGGTCGTGAGCACATGTTACTTTTAAAATGTCATTAGTTCAACCTTCAAATCTTTATCAACAATTTCATCAATCTAACCTTCAAAAAATATATTAACCTCTTAACATTGTTTATAGATTTTGATATAAGCGTCATTTATTTTAATATCAAAAACTTAATAATAGAGGAAATTTTGTTATATTACTATAACTAATTAACTATAGGAGGATTTTTCTTTTTTGATTATACCTAGGGGGAATTATTGTTATATACCCGTAATAAAATTTAATACATTCTAAAACCATTGTATTAAATTATTCAATCAACTTAATATTAATTTTACATTTCAATAAACATTACCTATTAATTTTTCAGTATAGTGGTTAGACAACGGTCATTGTTGATAAATAGCATATATCGATTGTCAAACAATGATGTTAGATCTGTATTAAGGAAAATGATAGAGCCACCGAAGATTGCGCACCGAATCTGTGCATCGAATGACGTGAAAAAATCTTGACCGTTGATTAATATTAATTGATAATGAATCAACGGTTAGGATTTTGTCACGTCATTTAGTGTACAGATTCGGTGCACAACCTTCGGTGGCTGTGGCATTACTCATGTATTAATTGTCCTTGATCAATGTTGATTGTGAACCAATTCAAGTTTTGATTTTTTTTTTTAATAACTAGTTATATAATAATTTATTTAATATGAATGTTTTGTATTTATTAAATGCTTTTAAAAATATATATTCAGAACTATAAAATATTTTAAAATATAATATGACATTCTGGTCAATATATATTTATAACAATAATTAGATAAGTTAACTTACCAAACACCAATCTATAGTTTTTCTAAAAAAAATTGTTAGGAGCAATGAGGAAGAAGATCGTGGAGCTGAAAGAGGGAAATGAGGGGGTGAAAAGGAATTAAAAAGAAAAACGAAAAAGGAGGAGATAGGAGAGAAAAAAGAAAGAGGCGGGAGAGAAAGGAGAGCAGAAAAAGAGAAGGGAATGAAAAGACTATTTTACCCTTATTCATTTGACAGAAACTAGACGGCGTCAAGGGTTTTGGGAAGTGATTGATTACATCTTAAAATATATTCCAAAATAGAGTAATTAAATTAAGTAATACTGTACTGCCCATTTCAAAATATATTCAAATAGGAAAAATATTTAGTCTTTTTACATGCAATTAAATCGCTATTTTAAAAATAAACTTTACCAAACATTCTGTAACTTATAGTTAAAGATGATAATATTAATTTTTACAACAAGTGATTAATATAAAAATTACACTAATCTCAATATGTCTTCATTCTTTAGAACTAAGCATCTCTTCCATATAGATAACATCATCATATCAAAAACAAAGAAAAAAGTACTTCTCACGTGCTCACTGGGAAACACCAATCAAGTTGAAACCTTAGCACCCCTGGGGGAAGGATAGGCCAAAGATCACTCAAATTATCTGTACTCATCAATTTCATCAAATTATCAGCACCAACTAATTTCCTATCTTTATGATATTTGAAGCTTTCAACCTTAATATCTTTTAAGAAGTGCCGCCAACATTTGATATCTTAAGAATTGCAACAACTCACATCCCTATTCTTCAATTCGTTATAGAATGACTGAAATTCATCAATTTAGGCCAATTTTTTTTTTAGTTTAAACTAAGAACAGGCTTCCATTCTAGGTGGACAACCGTCCATTTCAAATGAACGGTCATCCATATTTGATGGATGGCCGTTCATTCGCAGAATATTTGTTAACATGATATGTGGCTTGTTAGATTCAGTGGATACGTTGTTCGGTGTAAAAATTCGGTGCAAAACGTCGGTGTCTGTAGCATTTTTCTAACCGCAGTAATCTTCCATTATCTCCAATCAAACGCCTCCTAAAAGTAAAATAAATAAATAAATAAATAAAATATATAAATAATGTCAAGTGTGGAAAAGTTTAAATTAATAAAATAACAAAATTTTTGATTTGGTATTCAGTACTCAGTAGTGGTTGAACCATGAGGTTTTATAAATATTTACTATATCACCCATCTGCCGCTTATCTTAACAATTATTGGAGAATTATGTTATTACTATAATTATAGAAGGATCTTGATGCTTGATTATACCTCGGGAGGGTTATTGTTATAAACCCCTAATAAAATTTAATACATACTAAAACCATTGTATTAAATTATTCAATTAACTTAGTATTAATTTTACATTTCAGTAAACATTGCCTATTAATTTTTTAGTATAGTGGTTAGACAACCGTCAATGTTGATAAACGGCATTGATCGATGTTCAAACAATGGTATTGGTGAGTAAACACAAATAAGTAAAGGAAAAGAAGGAAATACTTGGTCCTTCTCTCTAGAGTAAGGTGTGTCTCTCTATTCTGACAGAGAATTTGTCTTTTTACGTTTACTGTGGAGTGCATGCATGGCTGATTCTACGTTAACATCGTTATGGGAAAGCTTTTCCTTAACAGAAGAAGAAGAAAATGATGTTGTCGTCTCCAACAAGACGATCGAAGATGTGGCCGCCAAAGTCAAACACTGCCTTCTGGCTCTCCTTGTCACAGAGAAAAATTATAGCAGAGAAGCATTTCGATCCACCATGTCTCAAGTTTGGAAACTGGATGGATGGATCCATTTTACAAATGCTGGTGAGAAATTATTTTTGCTAGAATTTCAAAATGTCTCTGATCTGCAGAAAGTCCTCAACGGACGACCTTGGACATTCGATAGTGACTATTCAACGAGTCGATAGTAGCACTTCTTCTAATGCTAGCTGTTTTACCCGTGAACCTTTCTGGGTTCAATTACATAATATGCCTTTTGCAGCTATGAATAACGATTATGGAGTCCAACTAGCGTCTGCAATTGGCAAAGTTCTTGAAGTGGATGTTGGCAAGAATGGTTTGGGCTGGGGAAGTTTTCTGAGGGTGAAAGTAGAGGTTGAACTTACCAAACCTCTGGTTCGAGGAAGGATATTAAGGATGGGGGAGCAAAAGTACTGGATTGCTTTCAAGTATGAACGTTTACAGAATTTCTGTTTTAAATGTGGAGTTCTTAACACAAGAATAGAGGTTGCTCTTCCATTAGACAGACTGAAGAATCCATTACTCAATTTGGGCCTTGGTTGCGAGCCAGTTCATCAAAGCTCTATTCTAAGGAATCTAAACGCTACGGTGGTTCAACAGATCGAAGCACAGAGTATTTTCATTCATCTCCCACGGCTGCTACTGGAGATACAAGGGGCACATACGTAAATTCAGATCAGACAAATTCGGAGGCTGATTTTCAGGTAACAATAAAGGAAGGTAGTAATAGCATTCAAACTGTCTCTGCAACGGATGCGTTATATGGTAAGAATTGCCTA